CTGCTTGAGAGATTTTAAGATACCAGTGTTGGTTGTTAGGCTATGCCTCAGGCTTTAATATAATTTTGGGCCTCTTTTGTTTTTAAACTCTCTTTTCCTCTCTACAGCCCTGTCCTGTCCTTTCCCGTATTAAAAAACAAAACAAAAGATAAACAAGCAAAAAACGTTCAGGGCCTTGCTTTTGGGTTGAGTATCTGTGCTCAAGCGTGGCAGAAGAACCCACCATTGGTGAGGGTGGGGGGTGTCCAATTGCTCAGGCTCCCCCTCTAGTCGCCAGATTGGAGGTGGGCAAACAGTGGGTGCACCAATGACCAGAAACCAAAAAAAAAGAAAATCAGAACAAAGCAAAACTGACAAAGTGGATTGTCCACCTTTGCTCTAAGGTTACCATGGCATTTTTCCATGATGTTTCTGCTCCCCTGCTTGGTCTTATCATTTGTTTTCCCCCAAGATGTCGGCTCGGGCCTCTGAGCCCAGCCCGGCAGATTCAGAAGTTCGCGATTTTTTTACTTCAGCTTCAAGTTCCACAATCTATAAGCCTTCAAACCTTCAAAATATAACTATCTTCTGTGGTTTTGAGTTTTGGAGCTCTGCCCTGGATCTGCTTTGCCTGGTATTCTATGGTATTGCTGACAGCGAACTTCACTGCACCTCCCACCTAGCTGACATCAAGCCCCATCTCCTTACTTAATCTTTTATCCATAGAATCAATCCTTCAATATAAGCCACACAAAGTTTGAAGTTTTCCTTTAGTTCTTTGAGTTTGAGATCTGTTGAGTGTGTTCTCTTTTGGTTTTATAACTCCAGGTCTTAGCATGTTTCAGTATACTACTTTACTTTCTCTTCTCAAGCTACCCTTTACATTTGTCTGTTCAGCTCTTTACGTCATCATTTCTTTTCAGTCTCTTTAGATCCTTTACATTCAAGAGCAAGTTTCAGAGGCTCTTCAGACATCCACTTTGATCAAAATTCCCCATCTTTTTAATGACTGTTTTCTTTTTCATAAATGATGTTCGCATTTCACAGTTCTTCTGTCATTAGTGTCTAATTCGGTCGTGAGTTTCTAATGCATCAGATATGTTCTTGTGATGGTCTTTAAATTCAGGTGGGGTGTGTTCAAGGTCATATTTTGGCTCCTGTGGACTTGTTTTAATTTTCTTCAGCCATAGCCTGAACTTGCATAGGAGCAATTGACGATCCATTCTACAGTCTGCCCTTGGCCTTGTTTTGGCTGATGATATGGAGCTTGTCCACCGTCATTTCCCACAGTAATTAATTTCTTTGTATTCCATCTGGTAAGGTCCATGTCATATATAGTTGTCTTTTATGTTGCTTAAGAAAGGTGTTTGCACTGAAAAAGTTGTTGGTATTTGAAAATTCTGCTATGTGATCTCCAGCATCGTTTCTGTCACCAAGGTCATATTTCTGACTGATCAACCTTCACATTCCAATCACCACTAATTATCAGTGCATCTTGATTGCATGTTTGATCAAATTCAGACTGAAGAAGTTGGTAGAATGCTTCAGTTTCATCATTACTGGCGTTAGTGATAGGTACATAAATTTGAATAATAGTGGTATTAACTGGTTTTCCTTATAGACATATGGTTATTACCCTATCACAATATTGTACTTCAAGTTAGATCTCAAAATGTTCTTTTTGACAATGAATTACAATGCCATTCCTTTTCAATTTGACATTTCTGGAATAGTACCATATGATTATCTGATTCAAAATGACCAATACCAGTCCATTCAGCTCACTGATGCCTAGGGTACCTATCTTTATGCGTTACATTTTGTTTTTGACAACTTCCAATTTTCCTAGATTCATATATTGTAAATTCCAATTATTATTAGATGTTGGCAGCTGTTTCTTCTCATTTTGAGTTGTGCCACATCACTAGATGAAGGTCCTGAAAGCTGAACTCTATCCAAGTCATGTAGATCAACTCTGAAAAAGTAGCTATTCCCCAATGGTATTTTGAGTGCCTCCAACCTGCAGGTCTCATCTTCCAGATTTATATCTGACAATGATGAGGTTTTCAATGGTTAACCCTTCAGATGGTGTCTGTCTGTCTCTCTTCTTAGTCTGGAAGCTCCATTAAATCTGTTCACTATATTTGACCCTGTTGGTATTTAAAGTACCAGTGGCATAGCTTCCAGCATCACAGCAACATATAAGACACCACACTACAATAAACTGGCAGATGAGTGGTGGTAACAAACAGCTAAAAGAATGTACAAAAGAAATAATAGTAACACCATAGGTACAGAAAAGGCGTTGAGTAATGAAATAACTATATATCGTTCCTAATTATTACTTTGGATATTTATGGTTAATTGAAATATAAGTTTTGGTTGGTGATATCTGCTTTAAAATCTCATTTTTATAATATGTAATATGTATGTGTTGATGGGACCTTAAAAATATATTGATAGATCCTTAAAGAAGTACAGATGTCTTTGTAAGTATACAGGTAACTCCAGGATTTCTCTTACTGCTAGATGTAATAACAGGGTCTCTCTTCTAGCTTTGTAATTCTCATTACAGCTATATTTATGACATGATGATCATCCTTTTTTGGAATTTATTTTTTCTAATTATGCATACATAGATGTCAACTGTAACATGTTCCTGTTTAGTTAAATGTTTTATTTAACCATGTTACATATTATTTAAGTTAATCAGTTAGTGAAAATGCCTTCTCAGATAATGTTCAGTTAGTATAAATTCATTTTGATGTAAATGTTTATGAAATTCTGAAAAATAGTTTTGGGGTCTCAAAGGAAAAAGAACTTGTATGAAGAAGTTGTAAGAAATGCAGATAATTATCTGTCAAATGTAATAATGGCTAAAGACTACATTGAAGAGAAAAAAAAAGATTTGGATGCAGCCATGAAAATAGCAAAAGAATTAAAATCAGCACCTTCTCTAAGGACATACTGTGACCTGAATCAGGTAATTGAATTATTTCTGTGGTACTTCATTTCTCTACTTTGAAACATGATACTTAAGACTTACCATAGTAGAATTTATTCCTCAGACAATCTTGCTGTTAACATAAATTTAGAATTCCTGTGAATTTGAATTAAAAGACAAAACATTATATCTGTTTAGCCTTTTATTATTTATCATGAAGGGAAATGGTGCAATTATATCTTTATGACACATGAATTGAGAAATAAGTAGAATGACATTGAGTTGAAAGTTGATGCTTCTAAGATACCTGAATAAAAAATGAGAACAAATAAAGAATACTAAACTCTATATGGAACTCCATTTTCTTTTTGTAAATAATTTTTGATTTGACTTTCAACTGTTGACCTAAACATTTTATTCAAGATGCCATTTAACTTTTTTTTTTTTTTTTAAAGCTTTTATTGTGCGTTGAGTGATAGTTTACATGGGAGAACATCGGTTTTGTAGTCAACCCTATCGTATTTTGTTTCAATGCAATGATTATAATCCCCTCTATGCATCATTAGTGAACAGTATTTGCTTCTATCCCATCTGTTATTATTATTATTTTTTATGTAAACAACAAATAGGAATATATAATCATTTAAACAATCAAAAAGTATATTCTGCAAATCTGCCTCCTGGCCACCAGCACACAGCCTTTCTCTTTCTATGAGTTTAGAATCCTATCTCTCCATGTCATCATATCTGCCTCCTTCTCTGGTGTCGCTGATTCTCACACATTCAGCTCATGCTCGTCTCTCTTGACGGTCCTAGG